ATGGTTGGGGTTGGATCACAGAATCATGGAATGGTTGTGGTTGGATCTCAGAACTATGGAATGGTTAGGACTGGATCACGGAATCATGGAATGGTTAAGATTGGATCACAAAACTATGGAATGGTTGGGGTTGGATCATGGAATCATGGAATGGTCAGGGTTGGATCACAAAACCATGGAATGGTTACAACCGGATCACAGAATCATGGAATGGTTGGGGTGGGATCACAGAATTGTGGAATGGTTAAGGTGGGATCACAGAATTGTGGAATAGTTAGGGCTGGATCACAGAATCCAGGGGGGTTGATATTCCAGACTTTTCAGGAGGCCCAAGGAGCCTGAATTTGGATTTTTGGAGTGCTTGCCAACTTGGAATTCCCAGTTGGAGCCGCTCCCAAGAGATCTGCATTAATAAATCCTTTGATAAATCAATTTTCCCAGTGGTGGAGGGTGTATCCATGGCATTGGAACTGGGGGGAAACTGGGATTTCAGAAGACACCGGAGAGCAGGATGAGGGTTAAATCCCAACATCAGGAGCCGGAATTCACTGCAGTCTGGCCTAAATCCAACAAAAAACTGGAATGACACTGCCCGGGGTTGACTTTGGGATCTGGTTTGGGATCCAGACACAACACTGGGCACATCCCGCTCCCGAATCCGTCCCAGTTTCCTCAGTTGCTTCCCAAGCAGGAAGAGAGCTGGATGAGGAGGGCAACTCGCCCTTCCCTGATATTCCAAAAACTTGATATTCCAAAAACTTGATATTCCAAATCCAGGGATTTCAGGAAGTGCCAGGGCAAGTTCCTCCCCTGGGAACGCTTCGAGGCAGCGGGGAACGACACGGAGAAGATGGGGGGGAGGCAAAAAAAGGCAGGAAAACAAGGAAAAGCCGCCGGGAAGAACACACAGACGCCGGTGGGATCTCTCATCCCCCGCACGAGGAACAAGTGGTTTTCCCTCCCCCCTTTCCCAATGGTTGGAAGAGCAGCATCCGTAAGGAAACCCACAGGCCGTGGAAAAGCAGTTGTTTCTCTCTCCATGCATCATCCCAACCTGACGCTGGCAGCTCCCGGTGATCGTTGTACCTAATCCAGGCGGGAGACTCCGCGCGCGGCTCCGGAGGGAGCGGGAGCTGTCGTGTTCATTAAATGCATGATTACAGCCGTGATTAATGGCAGGGGCTCCTGCCCAACTCCTGCCTGATTTTTTTTTCCACCCCCTTCCCCGCACCTCCGGAGGAATCCGCAGCCGAGCGGCGTTTTCCACGGCCTGACGTTCCAAACTTCCGACGGAAAAGGGGGGAAAAGGCCGGATTTGTCCCCAGCGAAGGCTCCGCGACCACAAGTCATGGTTCAAACAAGGAGGTCGGGTTAAAGGAGTTAATTAAGGCCTTTCCATTTCTCTGATCCCAAAATACACCAAAATTGGGATGTGTTGGGGCCAAGGGATGGGAAAGAGAGGGATCACCACTGGAATGACAAGTGTCAAGCCTGTTGTCCATCTGCTTCAGATGTCTCAAGTCAAGGACAATTTATGGAGATCCTACACAGGGAGGGAAAGAACCAGAGTGGAAAACTGAAATAGGGGAAAAAAGGGAGAAATGGCAAAAATTGGGATGTGTTGGGGCTGTGGGATGGGAAAGAGGGGGAGGACATGGTTGGAACGATGAGTGTTGGGCGTCGATCCCATTGCTGCCCATCATCTTCCACTGGCCCAAGGGAGGGATAATTCATGGAAATCCATGGAAACGAACAGGGTTTGACCCAAGCAATGCCAGGCAGGTGCTCAGCTCCACTTCCCGGTGCTCCAATTTGGGAATGTCCACAGAGGGGTCATCCCGTTTTCCCGCTATTTTTTGCCATCCACTATACTTATCATTCCAACAGCGTCCTCCCCCTCCTTCCCTTGGCCCCAACACATCCCAATTTTTACCATTTCTCTCTTTTTTTGGCCATTTCAGTTTTCCATCCTGGTTCTTTCCCTCTCTGTGTAAGATTTCCATAAATTCTCCTTGATTTGGGACACAGGAAGCAGATGGACAACAACGGGCTCAACACTCGTTCCAACAATGTCCTCCCACTCAACCTCTTCCCACAAAACCTCAGCCCTCTGGAAAAGGCTTCCCTGAGCCACTCCAGTTCCTTTAAGGGTTCCCATTATTCCTCTTTGGGAAGAGCCGAGCAATTCATTTCCCGAGTTCCCCTCTCGGCTTTTCTTGCTGAAACCAAAGTTTCGAGGCTGCGCTCCGGGAAATTTATTTCCTTAATTATTATTCATTTAAGAGGGTTCCGCGGATTCCGAGGATCAGCACTCGGAGCTGCCGGGGGTAATTTATTTCCCTTGCCGGAGAGAAACAAGCCCTTGCTCCGGAAAAGGTACCGGCAAAAAAAAAGGGATGAGCTGCTCATTGGATTTTTCCTGTTTTCTTGCTCGGTCGCCCCCCGTGTCCCAGGAATGGGGTGGGTGGTCCTGAGGGTTTTATTAATGAAGAAACCTCAATTAATGAGCTCCAAGTTCCATGTTCTGTCAGCAGATGATGGGAAGGAGCCTGGAGTAAGATCTGATCCCTGAAATTCCAGAGCTGAGGGAGTCAAAAGGGAGGAAGGGATTAAGGAATCCCAAAGCCAAGGGATTGAGATTGGAAGGGCCAAAGGGTTGAGATCAAGAGGGATAAGGCAGAGCAATCCCAAAATCATGGAATTGAGTGTGGAGATGGTCAAGGGATAGACCTCAAAGGAGTCAAGGGATTGAGGAATCCCAAAACCAAGGGATTGGGACTAAAAGGGACCAAGGGATTGAGATTGAAAGGGCCAAGGGATCCCACAATCCCAAAGACAAGGTACTGAGATAAAGGGGCCAAGAGGCCATGGAATTGAGCTCAAAAGGGGTAAGGGATTGAGGAATCCCAAAACCATGGGATTGATTTTAAAGGAGTGAAGGCATTGAGCAATTCCAAAACCAAACTCAAAAAGGACCAAGGATTGAGCTCAAAGGGGTTAAGGGATGGAGAAATCCCAAAACCAAGGGAGTGAGACTGAAGGGCCAAGGGATCCCAAAATCCCAAAGACAAGGCACTGAGATTGAGGGGGTCAAGGAATTGAGCTCAAAAGGGGTAAAGGATTGAGGAATCCCAAAGCCATGGGATTGACTGTAAAGGGACCAAGGGACAGAGAAATACCAAAAACAAGGGTTTGACCCCAAAAGGCAGCAAGGGATTGATCTCAAAGGAGTCAAGGGATTGAGAAATCCCAAAACCAAGGGATTGAGATTGAAGGGGCCAAGGGATCCCACAATCCCAAAGACAAGGCACTGAGATTGAGGGAGCAAAGGAACTGATCCAGAAAGGGTCAAGGGACTGAGGAATCCCAAACTCAAGGGATTGAGACTGAAGGGGCCAAGGGATCCCACAATCCCAAAGACAAGGCACTGAGACTGAAAGGGCCATAGAATTGAGTTCAAAGGGGGTAAGAGATTGAGAAATCCCAAAGAAAAGGGATTGGGTTTCAAAGGAATAAGGGACTGAGGAATCCCAAAGCCAAGGGATTGCCTTTGAAGGGGTCAAGGGATTGAGAAATCCCAAAACCAAACTCAGAAAGGGTCAAGGATTGACCTCAAAGGGGGTAAGGGAGTGAGGAATCCCAAAACCATGGGATTGACTGTAAAGGAATCAAGGGATAGAGAAATCCAAAAAACAAGGGATTGAGCTCAAAAGGGGCCAAGGGATTGATCTCAAAGGAGTCAAGGGATAGAGAAATCCCAAAAACAAGGGATTGAGATTCAATGGGCCAAGGGATCCCACAATCCCAGACACAGGGCACTGAAATTGAGGGAGCAGAGAATTGCGACTAAAAGGGGTAAGGGATGGAGGAATCCCAAAACCAATGGATTGAGACTGAAGGGCCAAGGGATCCCAAAATCCCAAAGACAAGGCACTGAGATTGAAGGGCCAAGGAATTGAGCTCAAAAAGAGTAAGGGATTGAGGAATCCCAAAGAAAAGGGATTGGGTTTCAAAGGGATATGGGACTGAGGAATCCCAAAACCAAACTCAAAAAGGGCCAAGGATTGACCTCAAAGGGGACAAGGGATGGAGAAATCCCGAAACCAAGGGATTGAGACTGAAGGGGCCAAGGGATCCCGCAATCCTAAAGAAAAGGCACTGAGACTGAAAGGGCCAAGGAATTGAGCTCAAAGGGAGTAAGGGATTGAGCAATCCCAAACTCAAGGGATTGAGACTGAAGGAGCCAAAGGATCCCACAATCCCAAAGACAAGGCACTGACATTAAGGGAGTCAAGGAATTGAACTCAAAGGGGGTAAGGGATTGAGGAATCCCAAAACCATGGGATTGACTGAAAAGGGGTCAACGGATCGAAAAATTGCAAAAACAAGGGACTGACCCCAAAAGGGGCCAAAGGATTGAGCTCAAGAGGATAAGGGATTGAGCGATCCCAAAAACAAGGGATTGAGATTGAAGGGGCCAAGGGATCCCACAATCCCAAAGACAAGGCACTGACATTAAGGGAGTCAAGTAATTGAGCTCAAAGAGAGTAAGGAATTGAGGAATCCCAAAACCATGGGATTGACTGAAAAAGGGTCAAGGGATTCCACAATCCCAAAGCCAAGGGACTGAGCTCAAAAGGGGCCAAGGGATCAACACAGGTTGGCTCCAGAGGGCTTCAACCTCCACCTTTGGTAGCTCACTAATCCAAGGCTCTGGATCCAACAGTCATGGATCAAAATTGGAAACCCCAACAAACAAAATCCTGGGGTCGGTTCTCACCTTCACCTCCTCAAACCCACCGACCTTTCTCCCACCAAGCACCTCCCAAGAGCTCAAAACCTCCCTGGAGGATGAGGAAAATGACACAGGGGAGGATCTGCCCACGGAAAAAAGCAGCCTGGACGCTTGGAAAACTCCTTGGAGTGAGCCCCAGCTGCCGGCGTGCAATTCCTGCCTCCGGAACCGCGCCGAGATTGGGGTCAGGGCCCATTTCCGGACAACGTTCAACCTTAAATTGGTTTCTGTTGCTTTCAATCTTGTCTTTTCCCTTCTGTTTTTCCTTGGGAAACATTACATTGCCCAGCACCTCTTGCTTCCTTCCCGAATTTCATGGAAATTCCTCGAGTGTCAGAATAACTCTTTAGCGGGAAGGAAGGAAGGGAAGGTTCCTTGGGAGCTGGAAAACCCAATTATTCCACTTGTTTAATTAACTTCCACCCCACCCCACTGCCCGTTTCCTAACGCTTCTGCAAAGGGAAAAAAAATATATCCTTGCTCAAATGTCATTTATCCCGAAGGGAAAGGGCTTTTCCATGTGGGATTCCACATCATTGTCCTGCGCTGGGATGAGGGTGACTGTTGGACTCTGTTTTGAGGCTTCTCCATCCTCGATGGAGCTACAAATTAGGCCAAATCCAAGCTCCCAATCCAGTGGTTTGTGTTATTCCCGCGTTTCGCTTGCGGAGTTCCGTGGAATTCCTTTGGGAGAGGATCCACAGGTGTGACGAGAGCACAGTTCTCAGTTCTCAGCAGCTGCCCCGAAACACGGATTGCTCCAGGTTTTTATACCCAAAACATCCCCCAAAAATTATTCCTGGAATGACAGTGACACTTCCCTTGTTCCTAAATTGACTGTTTTCCATCTCTCTCCACCCTCGATGAAGGAAGTCATGGAAAAGCCACGGCAAACTCCCGTTCTTCCCATTGCTCCAGGAGACGGATGAGATGCTCCATCGCTCCTGGGAATCTCAGGATTGAATCCAGGGGTGCAGGAAGTGCATTCCCAGGACCAAATTTTAACTCGCTGCTGGCATCCATCAATAAATTCCTCGATGGGAATGTGGATGGATCAGCCAGGGACAACCAGCATCGCATTCCTTTATTGTGGAGGCAAAACACTACCCCAAAAAATCCAGGGAAACAGAAAAATTAGAAGCCACTGGAAGCAAACTCCGAGTTATTAAACTGTCGGGAGAGTTTTCCTTCTCTCCGCTGTTCCAAACACACGGAGTCTGGTGCTGGAAGGGAAGGAAAAGTTGATTTTTTTCCCGCCTTTTAAAGAATCTTTGGCAAGTGTTGAAAACCTTGAGTAAATGTGGAAAGGTTTGTAGATGCCAAGAACACACAAACCAGCCCCAAATATCCCAAAGGAAGAGATGCCAGCACCTGTGGAATTCCCCCTCAGGAAGGAGGAGGAATTATGGGGAGAGATGGAAGATGACACAGAAATCCCGACAGTTCCTTGGGTTTTATGGTTCCAAACCCAACGTGGAAGGGGAAGGAGAATAAGGAAAAAAAGCAGCGAAATTAGCAATATCCTTAAAAAATAATTCCCTGGGTTTGGTTTTCCCAGTTTAACCTTCCCCCCAAAAACCATCAGTAAACCAGTGATGGAGCAAAAATAGTTGAGATCGAGCAGAAACTCAAAAAAAAGACTTTAAACCCACTTTAAACCTGCTTTTCCCTAAGAGGCCTCAAATCCCGGAGGAACTGAAACACGGATTTAAGCGAAGCTCAACGGAAAGTTGGGAGCTGTGTTGGAATTCCGTCTTTTAGGGTTATCAGCACAACGTTCCTCCCAAATTTTTTGGTCGATACTGACCAGAGTTTGAAGAGCATCTCCAACCTTGTGATGCCATTTGAAGTCACTCAAGGCTTCACTCGGGTTCTAAGAAGAACCAAGTTTAACGGCGCAGATCTACGAGCCTGAACTAAGCCCAGCTTAAGTAAAACATCAATTTTCTTAAACTTCCCATCTCTTTAACATTATGTCCCCTTTGGTGCTCCTGCAAAGCAGGAACAGCTCCTGGCACCCACAGGATGCCCGTCCCCTTGGCATCCGTCCCCTTGGCATCCGCTCTCCTACGAGGCCGGAGGATGAGCAGCAACGCCAAGGACTGGGAATAAACGGCTCAAAAACTTCACTCCATGGATTCTGGGATGGGAACTGGGACAAATCCTACTGCTCACCTGCTCTGCCGGGGGTTTTGGTGCCCAGGTCCCTGCTCCTGACGGGGGTGCTGGAGGTTTTGGACAGTTTGTTGGCCGACACTCGGTACAGGACGCCGCCGATGCAGCGGAAGCCTTTGCTCCTCCACCGCGGTGGCACCGGCTGGGATTTGGCACCTTGGGGCGACAGTCGGGTTTGGTTCAACAACAGGGACCTGCAGGAGAGTAAGATAATCAAGGGGAGCCCAAATTAGGGGGAATATCCCAAAAAAGTGCTGCTCTGTGAGCAAACTCTCAGATCAGGATGGTTTGGGTTGGAAGGGACCTTCCAGGTCATCTCATTCCGACCCCACTGCCAAGGGCAGGGACACCTTCCACTAGAATGGAGGGGATGTATGGAAAAACCAGGGAGGAAAAGCTCTGATTCCAAGTCATTTACACCAAAAAACTCAACCTTCAAGGACTCTACCACTTTTCCCTCTCTTGGCTTGCAGCCCCAGCCCCAGGGAAATATGGATTTTATTCCATGATGGAATCAGCAATGTGGGATCTTCCCTGACCTTACCCAAGTTTTATGGAGCTCTACAAGCTTTGGTATCCCTGGAAGTGCTCAAAACCAGGTTGGATGGGACTTTGAACCACCTGGTCTAGTGGGTGACATCCCTGCCCACGGCAGGGGCTTGGAAGCAGATGGTCTTTAAGGTCCCTTCTGACCCAAAGCATTCCATGATTTTATGATCCCTGCATGGGACGAGTCACCCAAGACCATTCCCATCTCCATCTATCACCTGCTGGGACACAAGTGGGATTCAGTGGGTGGCGTTAGGAACCTGTTTCCACCTTCCCACCTTTCCCTACATCCACAAATCCCGTAACGAGGCAGCGGGACGGCAATGGGTCGAGAGCCATAATCCAGGGCATAAGGAGCCCAAAATAATCCCATAACATTATCCTGAAGGATCAATAAACTCTGAAGTGGCACCTTAGGGATAAATACCATGGAATCATCATGGAAAAGACCTCTGAGATCATTGAGTCCAACCTGTGCCCCATCCCCACCTTGTCCCCCAGCCCGGAGCGCCGAGTGCCACATCCAGTCTTTCCTTGGACACCTCCAGGGATGGGGATTCCACCACCTCCCTGGGCAGCCCATTCCAATGTTTAACAACTCTTTCCATGAAGAAATTCCTACTCATGTCCCACCTGAACCTCCCCTGTCTTGCCAAAGATCCCAGAGGGACAATCTGTCCCTTTACCACCAAAAACCCACCCAGCCCATGACCCGACACCTTCTGCACCTCTCGCCCCACCCCAGAGCCTTCCCGGCTTTTCCCTCCATCCCCCGTTATCCAAACAGAGCCGAATCCAATCTCCTCCGACATCAGCCGCCTTCCTCATTTAGTGCTAATCCAAACAGTAATTTGTTTATGCAAATTGGAGCTCTAATTTCGCATTAAGCCCAAACTATGCCCGTAATGCTATTAGCGGAACGTCCATAAAACCGCGCATTAGCCGGAGAAGATCCGTAAATTAAGATCCAACCCCCATCCGAGCAGCGGGATGCAAACCCCGGAGAGCGTCTCCTTGAAACGAACGCCTGCTCCCGAGGAAAGGAGAGCTGGAAAAACGGAATGGTTACAATTCCTAAGGCTCACCCTGACGACCCCTTCATTCCCGAAGGTTGTTGTTCCACCGGGGAAGCGCTGCCGGGTTTTTGGGGGAAGGGGATTGGATAAAGGAGAGGCTACTCTTGCTTTCCAGTTTTCCCGGGGTTTACTCCTCATGGAATAGCTCCAGAGAGGAGCATCAAGTCTTGGGAATCCACAAAGAGCCCATGTCGTTGGGTGAAGGTGTCGGTGGCACAAGGGACACTTGGGTCACCCTTGGACCACTTTCATGGAATATCTTGGAAAAGCCAAGGTTTCATCCAGCGCTGGATGCAGGACCTGGCGAAAGGTCTCATGGCTTTTTCAGTGACCAAAGTTGGGCAATAAAAATGATATCAAATGATATCAAATATCCAAGGGCTGACAGGGCAAGGGAGGGGATTCTCGCCTCCTGCTCTGCTCTCCAGAGATCCCACCTGGAATTCTGCCTCCAGCTCTGGGATCCTCAGCACAGGAGAGACATGGAGCTGCTGGAGCGAGTCCAGAGGAGGCCATGGAGATGCTCCGAGGGCTGGAGAACCTCTGGAGCCAGGCTGGGAATGCTGGGAATGTCCAGCTTGGAGAAGGGAAGGATCCAGCTTAGAGAAGGGAGACCTTCTCCAAGGAGAGCTGGAGAGGGAATTTGGAAAAGGGATGGAGGGACAGGACACAGGGAATGGCTTCCCACTGCCAGAGGGTTAGATGGGATATTGGGAAGGAATTCTTCCCTGGGAAGGTGGGGAGGGGCTGGGATGGAATTCCCAGAGAAGCTGTGGCTGCCCCTGAATCCCTGGAAGCGTCCAAGGCCAGTTTGGATCACCCTGGGGTGGTGGGAGGTGTCCCTGCCCATCCACGGGGTCTCCAGTGCCGATGGCTTTTGGGATCCTGAACGACATCAGTCCCTTCCAGGAGGCTCCGGAAAATCTTCTAATTCCATAAGTACTGTCCATAAATTATCTCTGGATCACACACAGAGATACAAACACACATCTCACCCCATACAGAGACACAAATTATTGAATATATTGAATATATACCCCGAGTCCACGCATTGAAATACGAGATCTGTGTATTCCATAGAATAATAAATGGAGATTGTTTTATACATAAATCTATATATTATTATCTGTATTCTCCAGGCCTTGTATCTATCAATTATCTCTAGATTTTATTCAATGTATGCAATGAATAAATATATTGAATCTTATAAATATAAATTAAAAAAACCCTTTATATATATATAAAGTATATATGTTAAATATATACAGTATATATATAAATATATATGTACATATACATATATCTTATTATCCTGAAATAGTCAACATATATACTTAATAATATCCAGAGATAAATTATGATATATATTTACATTTACTATATTTATTATATTTACTATGTTTATTATATTATTATCTGTATTCTCCAGGCCTTGTATCTATCAATTATCTCTAGATTTTATTCAATGTATGCAATGAATACATATATTGAATCTTACATATATGTACATAAAACACATAGATAAAGTATATATATATATAAAGTAAATATATATAAAGTATATATATAAATATATATATAGAGATAGAGTGTATATATAAAAATATATATACATATATATCCTATTATCTAGAAATATTCAACATATATATTATGTATAACAATATTATAATATTATATAATATATAATATACTTAATAATATCCAGAGATAAATTATGAGATATGAAGCCTGGATTGTATTTTTATTCTTAGTATTTTATATTATTGATAATATTACTGAATATAGAGAATATATATTCAATTACATATATATATTCAATTAATCTTATATATATATTCATAAAATACATATATAAAGTATGTATGTGTAAAGTATATATATTATGTGTATTCAGTTAGGTATATATATTCAGTTAATCTTACGTATATATATACATAAAATAAATATTAAAAGCATATATATACATAAGGTATATATATAAAGTATATACATATTAAGTATATATATATATATATATATATATAGTGTGTATATATATATAAATATACATATATATATATCCTATTATCTAGAAATATTGAACATATATACTTAATTATATCCAGAGATAAATTAAGAGATATGAGGCCTGGATTGTATTTTTATTCTTAGTATTTTATGTTATTGAAATATTACTGAATATAAAGAATATATATTCAATTATGTATATATATTCAATTAATCTTACATATATACATAAAATACATATAAAAAGTGTGTATATATATATAATGTATATATATAAAGTATATACATATTAAGCATATATAGATATATAGTGTGTACATATACATATAAAATTAAATATAAAATAAATATAAAATTAAATAAAAATATAAATATAAAATTTAAAATAAAATAAAAACATAAACGTATATATAACTATATATACATATATATATCCTATTATTTAGAAATATTCAACATATATGCTTAATAATATCCAGAGATAAATTATGAGATATGAGACCTGGATTGTATTTTTATTCCTAGTATTTTATATTATTGATAATATGTAATATATTAACATATAATAATATATTCAATTATGTATATTCATTTATATATATATAGGTGATAGATGTAATAGATAGATATTTTCCATATATGTCATATTTTTCTTAAGTCTATTGGGGGGGAGAATAAACTATATAGATATTAATGGATTATATATAGACACATATCTGATATATCTATAAGATGTATATCTATATTTAAGTACATCTATATTTAAGTATATCTATATTTAGGTATATAACTATATTTAAGTATATATATCTATAGATACAAGATATTGTATCTATAGAGTTATACCTATATATTAAATATAAATATATCTGTATATATTAATCCACCTCTATTATCTTTAATATAATAAAAACTATAAATATATCTTCATAAATATATTCATATCTATTTTATATATATAAATATATAATAGATATTTTATATATCTGTATTATATATCTATACATAATATAGATATTTATTTATAATATATAATTTACAATATATCTATATATATCGATAAATACATAATTATAATATATATTTACATATATTACATATTTAAGTATATATTTTAATATATTTATTTTATATATTTATATATATCATATATCTTTAATATATATTTATAATATATATAGTTAAAATATATATTTTATATATTTAATAAATATATTTTATATATTTAAATATATATTTTTATATATCTATATTTTATAAATTTAAATATGAATTCTCCACAGATATCTATACAGACAAGTCTTTCTATCTCCACACACAACTCCATCTATACCTCTATAAATATATATCTACATGTATTATCCAGAGCTAATAAATCAAGAGATTTGGAATATAAATTTTTATACATGTGTTAATATGATTAAGATGACATCCCCCTGCTCCAGCCCAACTCCTCCCCTGGAAACCCTCCTTCCTAAAAATTCAACTTTAATGGGATTATTCCCCCAACTGGAATGAGAGGAGTCCCAAAACCCACCTCAACCCCCTCCCCAGGAGCC